GGTGACATTTTACATTTGGCATTTCGTTTAAGAAAGACTGTCCCATCTGTCCTGGTCCAGTTCCTCCTGGTCCGGTCTGGTCCTGGTCTGGTCCTGGTCCGGTCCTGGTCCGGTCTGGTCCTGGTCCGGTCCTGGAGCAGAAGGGGGCGGGGTTAGGTGGGATAAAGGGGGATCAAGTCGGGCTTAAAGTGGAATCTGGGCTCATTGTGTGGGTAAAGTCCACACGGGTCAGTGGAGCGAGACTAAAGTTTAAACACAGAAGAAAACATCATCACAACTACAGCACGAAACGACTGAAAACACACGTGTTTGTCTAAATATTATAATCAGCAGAAATGACTCAAATAAAAGATTTAGTCCTGTTAAAAAACATTACCACAGCAATGATCCGTTCAGAAGAAGTCCTCAAAATGGCGCCGATAAACAAGAAACTGTAAACCATAAACACACGTTTGTTTAGCCTCTCGGACGTGTTTAAAATCACACTAAACTGAACTCACTCTGAGCTTTAACACTTCTTTGAGTAACTCTTTATTATTATTATGAATCTGTTTATATCTACCAAGCTCCAAACACTCTGTTCCACCTCGTGATGTCATGAAGTGGTAGTTTTCACGTGATCAGCTCCTGTTCTCTTTAGTTCAGTCGAGATCATCAACTCCAGGACTGAAATGATCCAAATGATCCAAGTGAAGATGTGTGGAGTTTAAAAACACAGTGGAGCACTTCCTGTATCACCACATGATGACATCACGAGGTGGAACAGAGTGTTTTCAGTTTGTGTGAATGAAACAAAACACAACAGGTCTTTGTTTGATGAAGAAACAGGAGCTCATGAGATAGAGAGATTATGGAACATTTAACATTTCAAACTTTTCCTTCTGAATATTTGGAAAAACATGTACATTTAGTTTTTGATGAAATGTTCCTCAGTGGGGCTTTAACCCTGATCCCTGAGTGCAGCTGGACTGTTGCCCTCTTCTCTTTCTGCTTCTCTCTGCTCGTTTTGCTTTTGTTCCTGTTTGGACTTTGTCTGCGTTACCGTGGAGACCGCTGTGTACACGTCTCCATGGTAACGCTGCGCACGTGTCATTCATTCATTCAGTGCGAGCGTGCACGAGGAGAGCGTGCACGAGGAGAGCGTGCACGAGGAGAGCGTGCACGAGAGAAACTGCTCAAGAGAAAACTGAAAAGAACAGAGTAGAACATGTACTACTACTACTACTACTACTACTGTTAGTACTACTACTACTACTACTGTTAGTACTACTACTACTACTACTACTACTACTGTTAGTACTACTACTACTACTACTACTACTGTTAGTACTACTGCTACTACTACTACTACTGTTACTACTACTACTACTACTACTGTTAGTACTACTGCTACTACTACTACTGTTACTACTACTACTACTACTGTTAGTACTACTGCTACTACTCACCAGAACCACACAGTCCTGATACTACAGCAACAAACACACACACCTACTGTAGTCCTTTACCTGTCCTGGTCCTGGTCCTGGTCTGGTTCCTGATTCTGGTCCTTGGTCTTGGTCTTGGCCTTTGTCTTGGCCTTGGTCCTGGTCCTGGTCTTGGTCCTGGTCTTGTTCCTGGTCTGGTCTGGTCCTGGTCCTGGTCTGGTCTTGGTCCTGGTCCTGTTCTTGTTCCTGGTCTGGTCTGGACTGGTCCTGGTCCAGGTCTTGTTCCTGGTCTGGTCTTGTTCCTGGTCTGGTCCTGGTCCTGGTCCTGGTCCTGGTCTGGTCTTGTTCCTGGTCTGGTCCTGGTCCTGGTCTGGTCTGGTGGTCTGGTCTGGTCCTGGTCCTGGTCTGGTCTGGTCTCCTGGTCTGGTCCTGGTCCTGGTCTGGTCTGGTCTGGTCTGGTCCTGGTCTGGTCCTGGTCCTGGTCCTGGTCCTGGTCCTGGTCCTGGTCCTGGTCTTGGTCTTGGTCTTGGTCTTGGTCCTGGTCTTGGTCTTGGTCTTGGTCTTGGTCTTGGTCCTGGTCCTGGTCCTGGTCCTGGTCTTGGTCCTGGTCTGGTCCTGGGGTCAGAGTTCATGTGCAGATGTGTAGATGGGCTCGTGCGTTGTGCTGGAATGTCACGCACTGTCACTGAAGCGCGTGCGTGAGCGTGGGCCTGAGCACGTGACCTCTGTGCACACGTCACTGAGCGCGAGCGTCTCTCTATTGGCCCCACGCGCTCATTTAGCGCAGAGAGCGCGCGGCCTGGGCACGCGCCAACTTTCACTGCGCGAGACACGGAACGAGAGAAAAGAGAGAAAGAGAAGAAGAAGAAGAAGAAGACATCTACAGAAAGAGAGAGAGAAGGAAAGAGGAGAAGACAACCAGAGAGAGAAAGAGGAAGAAGAAGAGAAGAAGAAGAAGAAGAAGAAGAAGACGACATCTACAGAGAGAGAGAGAGAGAGAGAGAGAGGAGAGCGCGCGCGGTCTGAGGCTGGGGTCCGCGGGGTCCACGTGAGCAGCTGTCAATCTGCCCGAG